GTGGGGGAGAGGGGGTGGCACCCCCCGACACGCAGCAAGGGTGGGCACCACGTCCTGGGGGGGTCCCCGCGGTTTGGGGCAGCACCTCCCCGGGGTGCCCAAGCCAAAGACCTCCCCGTTTCTGGGGGTCCCGACTTCCCCCGGTAAATCCCCGGACCCACCGATCCCCGGATTAACCCCCGCAGCCGCGGGCTGACCCCCCCTTCGCCCCCCCCGCCACCACACCGGGGACCCCCACCCACACGGACACCGCGGGGACCCCTCCCCGAACGGAGCTGGAGGGGCTCCCGGAGCCGTAACCCGGGACGCGGCCACCCCGAGCACCCCGGTGCCGACGGGGAGGACGCGGGACCGGGGGGGTCCGGGGGCACCGGGAGGCAGAGCGACCCCCGGCCCCGCTCCCCCGGGAGGAGCCGCCGCCGCCTCTCGCCCTCCACCTGCCGGGACTGAGGCTCCGGGAGCCCCGGTGCCGGTGGGGATCCCGGTGAGGACCCCCGTACCGGCGGGGACCCCCGTGCCCGCATGGATCCCGGTACCGGTGAGGACCTCGGTGAGGACCCCGGTATCGGAGGGGATCCCGGTTCCCGTGGGGACCCCGGTGAGGACCCCCGTACCGGAGGGGACCCCCGTGTCCGTGTGGATCCCGGTACCGGTGAGGACCTCGGTGAGGACCCCGGTACCGGTGGGGACCTTGGTGGGACCCCGGTACAAGTGGGGATCCCGGTGCCCGTGGGGACCCCGGGGGGACCCCGGTGCCGCTGCGGGATCCCGGTGAGGACCCCCGTACCGGAGGGGACCCCCGTGTCCGTGTGGATCCCGGTACCGGTGAGGACCTCGGTGAGGACCCCGGTACCGGTGGGGACCTTGGTGGGACCCCGGTACAAGTGGGGATCCCGGTGCCCGTGGGGACCCCGGGGGGACCCCGGTGCCGCTGCGGGATCCCGGTGAGGACCCCCGTACGGGAGGAGACCCCCGTGCCCGTGGGGATTTCGGTACCGGTGAGGACCTCGGTGGGGACCCCGGTACCGGAGGGGACCCCCGTGTCCGTGTGGATCCCGGTACCGGTGAGGACCTCGGTGGGGACCCCGGTACCGGAGGGGACCCCCGTGTCCGTGTGGATCCCGGTACCGGTGAGGACCTCGGTGGGGACCCCGGTACCGGAGGGGACCCCCGTGTCCGTATGGACCCCAGTACAGGTGAGGACCCCAGTACCGGTGGGGATCCCGGTGCCCGTGGGGACCCTGGTGGGGACCCCGGTGTCGCTGGGGATCCCGGTGAGAACGGCGGTACCGGAGGGGACCCCCGTGTCCGTATGGATCCCGGTACCGGTGAGGACCTCGGTGAGGACCCCGGTACCGGTGGGGACCTTGGTGGGACCCCGGTACAAGTGGGGATCCCGGTGCCCGTGGGGACCCCGGGGGGACCCCGGTGCCGCTGCGGGATCCCGGTGAGGACCCCCGTACGGGAGGAGACCCCCGTGCCCGTGGGGATTTCGGTACCGGTGAGGACCTCGGTGGGGACCCCGGTACCGGTGGGGATCCCGGTGCCCGTGGGGACCCTGGTGGGGACCCCGGTGTCGCTGGGGATCCCGGTGAGGACCCCCGTAGGGGAGGGGACCCCCGTGCCCGTGTGGATCCCGGTACCGGTGAGGACCCCGGTACCGGTGGGGACCCCGGTACCGGTGGGGATCCCGGTGCCCGTGGGGACCCTGGTGGGGACCCCGGTGTCGCTGGGGATCCCGGTGAGGACCCCCGTAGGGGAGGGGACCCCCGTGCCCGTGTGGATCCCGGTACCGGTGAGGACCCCGGTACCGGTGGGGACCCCGGTACCGGTGGGGGGGGCGCAGGGGCGGCGGGGAAGGGAAGGACGGACCTCCCCCCCCCGCCCCGGTGCGCGGTGGGGAGCGGGGACCCCCGGGTGCGCCCTCCCGTGCCGGGAGCCCGTTCGCCCCCACGGTGCCGGTGACGGTACCGGTGCCGGTACCGGGGGGGGTCCCGTCCGCCACGGAGCCACTCACCTGCCCGCGCCTCCGCCTCTTTGTTCACCTTAAAATGGCAGCCGGGCTCGGCGGCGACCGGGCGCTGCTGGAGACCGGCCCCGGCCCGGCCCCGGTTTCCGCCTCCGGGG